ACAGGTATTTTTCATCAAGTATTGATATATTGAACTTTAAGTCCCTACAGAATATGATGAAAAAACATTAAAAAAATTAAAATATTTTTAAAAATAGGTATAAAGAATTATATAATTCTGATGTGTAAACATAAGGATTATATGATTCTCTATGCCTATTATTATCTTGACTAATAAAATTTTTTATCATCTTTATTATCTCAAAATGTATATATAGAAGAATTTATCAATTTGAAATGCATTGTTCTATGAATTTTGACAAATTCATGAAGTTGAGTGACCATGACCTAAGTTGTAAGTGTGACACATCTTGATTACCCCAACATGTCCCCTCATGGATTTTGGCAGTTCAACCCCTCCATGTACTTTTGGACCTGACTGGTTTTTTGGTATTCTTGTTCTATTTCAGGAGGCATTGGTTAAGGACAGAAATGAAAACTTCTGTTCTATGGTTTCATGTGCTTACCTTTGTTAAAAAACACCCTGTAAAGTGTTACTGAAAGTTATTGTACCATGAGTGCTCTATGAATGTTAGTGTTTGCATTTTTGTCATCATTTATTATTGGCAGTATCTTTTCATTTAGCTATTCCATTGGGCATGTAGTGGTACCTTATTGTGGTATAAATTAAGTAATCATTTTATGATTAATTTTAAGATGTGAAACATCTTTTCATGGGCTTATTTGCCATTGTCATGTAGTTATTTTCTTTAGTTGCCATCATTTGCTGAAGTATCTACTAAAATTATTTATATATTTCAAATTAATTACTTCATAATGTACTTTTTATGTGATAGTGTTTTGAATATATTTTAAAATGTTAGATAATAAGGATCATTGTACTGCTGATTTCTGCTGGTTTACTGAAAGGAGTAATTAATGTTTAAACTTTTATTTTTCTCTTCTTTTAACTTTTCATAATTATTTTCTTTTTTTAGCCAATTTCTCAGGCTTATATCTGGTATACTAAACACCTAATTTAAAGATAATGTTATGCAATACAATAACCACTGTCAAATTCCTATTATTTTGTTTAATGAAATTTTGTATTGTTTCTGTTTTTAAAAAACATTTTATATTTTTTAGAAAATGAAAAGAAATTAATTTTAAAAATAAAATAACCTTTAGTGAATTCAAGTACCTACAATCTTTGTACTGGCATCAAGTATGAAAAAGTCCTTTGAAGACTTCTCCAAATACAGGTTCTCTAACAGCAATGGAACACCTAACTCTGACAAAACAAAACAAAAAAGGGGGATACAAATAAAGGATCATTTTGTTGTGAAAAAAATGTATATATGAGATAGTTAGAATAGATATACAGCTACTTTCTCTTAGTTCAATGAGAAGAAAATTTTGTATTAATATTGTTTAGACAAGATATCATGTCTGCATCTTTTCCTCTGAATAACTACCATGAAGACAACAATATGCAATGTATTAATTATTGTAACTGTCCTACTAACCTGTTTTTAAACTGTTTCATTGCTATTTTATCTTTTTTCTCGTTAAAATGAATAAAAAGAAAAAACAAAAAAAAATCAAATCAAATGCTGGAGTTACAGATTGAGTTCATTTAATTAATAAGACAATGCCATGGATATTTCTTAATTTTTAAAGCAAGGTCCTTTGTCCAACTAAGTCAAATCAGATTTTTCTGTTAGAAAAAAAAAATCTGCCTTAATTTTTCTATTGTAACAAATATTTTAATGTGGATCTTTGTGCTGGATCCAGAATTCTTATCTGAATTTTGGTTTTAAGTAGGTAAAACTCAGCCTTTTGCCATAGTTTTGTATATCATGGAGGAAAAAACCCCTACATATTCTCTTTAATTGTCTAATGGATGCTCTTCCTCCTTCACAGGCCCACATAGGACTGCCCTTCCAGGGTCTTGGTTCACCTGAGTAAATAAAGTGCTGTTAGGTAAACAGAAAATGTCATCATCAATGTACTTTGCAGTAATTTTGTACATAAAATAGTTCATCACAGCCTGGACTACTCAATTTCTTATTTTGATTTCATTTGTTTTCTTTTTCCTCCCTCCCTCCCTATCTTTCTTCCTTCCTTCCTTCCTTCCTTCCTTCCTTCCTTCCTTCCTTCCTTCCTTCCTTGACAGGGTCTCTTTAAGCTCCCAGGTTGACTTGAAACTCATGGTCTTCCAACGTGAACCTCCTGAGTAGCTGGGACTACAGTGTGTGACACATTGGCAGCCCAAACTGTCCCATTTCTAAATGATTAAATAACAGTATGTAAGTGCAACAGGGAAAGATGCGAATCTTTCTTTGCTGTGTAGTAGTATGAATTGCTTATTTGGTGTTAGCATATGGATTCCCCATTGGACTTCTCTGTGTGCGTCCAGGAGTACATCTACATGTCTATATCTGCACTTATCTCACCACTTCAGGAAAGGCAGTGGGTTCACTGGGGAGCACACAAAGCCCTTTTAGGATTATTTCAGGTTGGTTCTCATTGTCACACCATTTTTAAAAGACTTTGATTAATGTTTTTCCTGTATTTTTTTTTGAGCAAACCATCAATTGATATCAGTGGGAGATAATTGCTAGAGAATTTAATTAAGAGCTTCAGGTATTTTTCAGAGACTAGTTGAAGATTCCAGAACCCTTACCTTATTTATAGCTCTGGAAGTGAATAGTGAGAACATCTTGACAGTATTCACAAAAACTCAACAAGATCAGACATTACAAACATTTATTTTCATTTATTCAAGCCTTTAAAATAAAATATTCATGTGATATGATAGTCACAGAGGAAATAAAATACATAATTTAATCAGTTGTTCGAACTCATTTAGAAATAAAGAGCTGTCATTTTAGAAACTTAGCTGTTTTTCTTCTCTCTAGCACATCAGGGAAAAAAACCCACAGTTCACAAGATACCACAAGATGTTACGTAAGCAAGCCAAGTTCTGTCTCATCCCATATCTCAATCAACAGGGAAGGAGAGCCTGCCGCTGCAGCTGCTGGCATGCAGGCCCTTGACTCCGGGCGTGTTGACATTTGGATATGGATTTGCAGGGTGCCTGCAGTGCACCTGTCTGTGTTCTGTTTGATGAGGGAAGTGCAGGAGGAGGCACTTAACAGCTGGAATGGAAGTCTTCCTTTAGTATCCTTGGAGGCCATTGGCGTTCTCTATGAAGAGAATCACTACTCTCTCTTTTTTTTTTTTGTTTTGGTAAAGGCTGCTGTATTGGTGACAATTAGTACAAATCCATAAATATTGATCCCCAAAGAAAAGCGCAGTTATTTATCATACTACTGATCCAGAGAGCCAACTGGCACTGAGCCACGTAATGACTGAATTGCCTGAAGTCACTCCAGCTTCTTGGGAAATGCCACAGCCAGCCGGTCTATGGCATACACCGTTCCACCCACTGTGAGAGTCATAGTGGCACTGTACAAGAGGGCATCGGCTACCCCACCCTTTAGATGCCTTGCAATTCCCTTGTCCTCCTGAAAAGCTTTTGTTTCTGTAGAACTTTATTTTCCAAAAGCCTGCGTGAAGCAGTGCTGGTGCTACTCTTTCTTCCACTATCTTTTAAGAACGTCTTTAGTTCATCGTTAGAGTTCATTATTAGTTTATGATGTAATGTTGGAATAATAAAGGGTCATTTTCCAAATGTAAATGTGAACATTGTATTAAATGACATCAGTGTTCAACTTCTAATAGCAGAAACCTGCATCCCTTCTCTGGAAGAACTAAATTGAATTTCTGCTCCTGTGATCTTCCTGTGCACCAGAAGATTTTGAACTTGTATCACTCAGTTTTTTGAAGCCAAAACAATTTGAAAGGAGCCCATGAGGCAATGGAAATAACTAAACAGAACACAGACACAAACCTAAAGACTGAGCTAGTTACATGCATGCATCTTTCTGCAGAATGAGAGAAAGGAAATTAAATTGGATCTCATAATTGAATAGTGCAGCCTGTGACCGATGTCCTCGGCATCCTTGAATGGCTGCTCTGTCTGTCATGTCCTTCTTATTTCCACTGGCTGCAACTACTCCCAGCAGCCACAGACTCACCTGGAAACACCCTTTCTGTTTCTTGGCCAGGAAAGGTGTCCTCTTTTTTGATAGTGATTAATATTCAATCTCTGGTCTCTTCCTGATTGATTTTTCTTGCTGCTACTTCCTGCTGTACACCAAAGTACTCTGTTGAATGCTTCAACTCTATTTCAGTTATTTGTTCTTTTTATGCATTTCCATTGTATCCTATTGTGGCAATGCATATACTAGAGTGTTTCTCCCTGTGCCCTTTCCTGTCTTTGCACCTTTTCCCTCCTCCCTACACGAATCCTGCTGGGGAGTAGCTGTCACTTGAGCCAATCAGGATCAAAGCTACACAGGTAAATCTTGAAGAAGTCCCTCTGTAAAGTTGAGAGCTATTTGCCAAATTCAGATCATTAGAAACAATTCATTTTTTCCCCTTGAAACATCTAAGAATCTGTGGACACCAGAGATGGCACAACAGGTATACAATATCCTTGATGAGTTAAGAGCCTGATTTCAATTGAATGTTACTTAATACTTCCTTCATTGGTGCTTTGTGTGGTCACTACAGCAGTCTATTTTTAAAACAAGAACTCAAATATTTGCACTTGTTATTCTACACAGATTTTTGTATTTATATAGAGATATGTATTTATATATTACATATTTATATATAGATGTATATCTATGTGTCTATGTATAAAAATGTTACAAAGTTTTCAAAACAATGATTAAGAGATCAGTGAAACACATTTGGGTCAATCTCTTTGCAGTCATAAGTACTGAAGAAACTCTTGATCATTTCACAATGTTAATTTATTATATCTATCTTAACATACAAAAAGTGCTTCATTTCTGGGTTCCAAGATCCTGCATTAGAGTTCAGTCTATGTGTTATGAAGTTCCCAGTGTTGCCCACGCCATGCTGGACCTAAGGCAACAGCAAGAGCTGTTCCTGTCACAGTGCGTGTGCAGCCCAGAGCTGGCCCTCCTCATCTGTGGGTTCCTTTACCTATAGACATTACCAACTACTGCAAATGAAAAATACTCAAATAAATACTGGATCTGTACTGAACATATACAGATTCTTTTCTTGTCATTGTTTCCTAAACAATACAGTATTAACATCTATTTACACCACATATTAGATATTTATATTAAGTATTATATGTGATCTAGAGATGAATTAAAGGGTATGGGGAATACATCAAAACACTTGGAATGGACTTGAAACTTGGGACATCTGTGGATTTGGCTATGAAGAACATCTATATCTATTTGTGTATGTATAGATATGTATAAATGAAGCATATATATATGAGACAATATTTGGCACATTAAATAATTGGAGCACATGTCCCTTTGTACCAAAATAAATATATAGAGGTTTAATTCAAATTTGCTCTTGAATTTTTTCCTACTAGCTTTCCCACCAAGACCAATAATCAAGTATACTTTTAGTTGAAGAATGTTCTTTAGCATGCTTCTTTTTGCCTACGTTGTATGTACTTTTTAAGAGTCTGGTTGAAATCCTTCATTTATCTTTGGAGAGGATGACTCAGACTGTGTTTTGTCATCTTTTTTCTCTGGAATTTCCCCATCATTTCTCCTCTTACATTTCCTGTATGCAACATAAACTGGAAAACAATACACAAGAGGTTAAGTAAATTTCATAATCATAAGCTGCAAAATTACTTTAGACAGTGATTATACTGCATGATTCATGGAGCCACTTGCATTTTCCATAGAGTGGCAACTGCTGAGAGAAAGCAATTGTTTCTCATTGTTGATTCTGTGACCACTCTTGGAAGAGAGAAGACTGTACTTCAGGAAGACCTGACACGAAAAGCTTCAGAGACATTTGCTGAATGCAACCATAGTCTCTCTAGGATTCAACCCCTCAGGTGAGGCTATATGAGAATAAGTGAAGAGGCGTTTGTTCCAAAGCTATCACACACTAGTTACCATGAAAGCCCTCAATAAAGATGGCCCAGGCTATGGTGTAGGCCTTGACTGATGGCCTTTTGGGAGAAGACTCGAGCTAACACAGTGCTCCTGAAGCTGAACGCATGCTGGAGCTAAGTGCAACGAATGAAGAAAACAAAGGAGAGAGAGAGAAAAAAAAAAGAAATAAAGGAAAATAAGATAGTGTCTCCTGGGATTTTTAGAAGTCAAGATTCACATTATTATTATTATTTTTTATTGACTTTTTTTTTTGAACTGGGGATTGAACTCAGGCCCTTGCACTTGCCAGGGAAGTGCTCATTCCACTGAGCCACCTCCCCGTCCCCAAGATTCACATTATTTTTGTCATGTAACTTCATCTTGTATTTCCTATTAAAATGCTATGAAACTTTGAAAGTACCTTCTTTATTTAAAAACTAGGACTTTAAAATAGAGTTTAAATATCACCTGCTCTTAGAAAGTAAAATCCATGGAAGAATCATACCTGGATGAAGGCCAGAAGGTGGAAGCCTCATGGGAGGAGATCAGAGTTTATACTATAGTGACAATCTTTTTTTTTTTTTTTTTTTTTTTTTAGTGGAGCCAGGGATTGAACTCAGGCCCATGCACTTGCCAGGGAAGTATTTATTCAACTGAGCTATTTCCCCAACCCCCAGAGTTTATACTCAGATCCTTGCACTTGCCAGGGAAGCTATCTTCCCAGCCCCTTAACCCTTGTACTTTGAATAAAGAACAGTTTTGCTTAAACTGATTCAGTTGTATAAATTGAGCATCTATATCTATCTATGTATATCTGTCTCTCATAACTCATTTTGTTAAATAGCCTTGGTGTACTAATTTTTTGATCAATAGTCTATAAAGCATATCAAGACACCATCTGAGGAAGAATCTCCACAACTCTGGGCTGCTTGAAAGCATTTAAGAAAACAGAATAAAATACTTCTAACAGTTCGATATATCTAATTAAGAGGAAAAGAAAGTCTGTGGAGAGAATCCATCATCATCATTTTTCATTTAAAAATGATCATCACTAAAACTGTTTAGTGAAATTATAAATTTTAGTAGTATTTAGGGAGTCATGATGATATTATGGGGCAGGAGTTCACTTTCTTTTATTTGTACGATTCACTGCCAGGAACAAAGAATTCATTAAAAAACCATTTAAGCAGCTCTCGAATTTCCCAAAGAGCACGACGGTCGCACGGTCGCTGCAGGATTCCCTACCTATTAACAGGATTGCTGCGAACACGAGCTGGAAGATGCTGTAGATGAGCGGGAAGGTGAACACCAGGTTGAGCTCCTCGGGGCTGAAGGAGAGCTGCACAATGGTGGAGCACAGCTGGCTGTTCTGCATTCCCGTTTCCAGGGCCACCGTGCGGCATCTGCCAGGGAGGGTAAGAGAGCAGCGTGCTCGTTGTCGCTTGGTTTTGTTACCATTCAAGGCATATAGGAGAACAAGCACGTAGGCTGTATGCGCACTCATTCAATGGAAATGACACGCCTTTCTCCTGGATAACTACATTGCTACATAGTAATATGATCTCAATATACTTAACATCTACCGAAGATGTGTGATCAAAAATAAATGAGTTCAAGTAAAAATACTATTACAGTGAAAGACACGTTTTTGTGAATCCTCCTAAAACAACCCCTTTTGCCTTGAATGAATTGCCCCATTTTTCTCGCCATTTTCTGAAGCAGTTCCGGAAATCCTTTTGCTCTCTTCGTTGAGTTATAGCTGGCATCAGGTCCTGAATTGTTTGGAAATGTTCACCTTTCAAAGGCCTTTTGAGTTTAAGGGAGAGCCGAAAATTGGCTGGTGTCAGATTCAGTGAGTAAGGTGGTGCAGGCCGCACCCTGACGTTCTAATGGACCTGCTTCCTGCTGGATGACCCTGGGCAGCAACACTCACCATGTTTCCATCATACCTCATAAGAACCCTTTCAAAAGAACAGAAAGTGGCAAAACTGTCGGTAGAAACGTGCTCCAAGTGAAGAGCAGTATTTTGAGGGAGATTGGTGGCAAAGTTTCTTTGACACTAATAAATTTAAACATCTAAATTTGAACATACACAGTGTTTGTCCATCACCCCAGCACTTGAGGACTAGCTGATTTATAATAGTGTCCCATACATGGTGGACGGTGCTCCTCTTAGCCTTCTCAGTGATATCCTTGGTTACAGCACAGAGCAGGGATCAGGGTCTCAGAAAATACTCACCGTATGGTATTTATTGTAGTTACTTGATAAATTTATTTGTTCTGATTAAATCTCATTTAGAAATCTGCAAGGTAGGAATTAGTATCCATATTGTATCAGTAAGAAAACTTAGGGAGAGAGCTTGGCTGAAGGTCCCACTGCTGGGGAGAGGGACAGGTACACCGCAGCCTGTCCCAGCGGGGCACGTGCTGCTCCTCAGTGTCCGGCCTGCACCTGCGTCTTCCCTGTCTGTTGCCTTAGCTGAGCTGGGAGAGAGGAAATGTTTGTGTGCAGTAACAAAGTCCTAAGAGCATTCATCCTGCCAGCTGCTGGAGGACCCCGTGAGGATCATGAGGCCAAACTCGGGGCTTCTGTTAAAGCCACTCGGCTTATGGAATGTACAACAGTGGCAAAGTCTGTCTGGCACTCGAGGGAGAATGGGCTGGAAGAATTTGAGTATGAATAAATATAAAGATAGGCAATATCTTCTTTTTAGGGACTTGTGTTGTTTTAAGAATGAATGAGTTTATTTAGAAAGGCGTGATCAGAAATGTGGCAGATGTGATTAAAGGTGAAAGACTGTGAGCCTGTTGTCAGTACTGATGGCTGCTGTGTGACCTGATCATGCCCCCAAGTTTCATATGTGGAAGTTCTACGTGACATCACAAAATGTGTGGCCTTTTGGGCAAGTGTAATCATTGCACATGTAATTATATGAGATGAGGGCAGCAGGATGCTTCCCATTCGATATGTGGAGATTTCTTATAAAAAGGGACACAGAGACAGGCATGCAGCAATGACTCTCATGTGTGCAGACATAGGGAAAGGATGGCTGTGTGCAAGCTGTGGAGTGACACCCAAAGTAAAACCTTCCCTCATAGCTTCGGGAAGAACTAAGAAGGTAAACACCTTCATGCGGACTTCTTGTGTGTGAAAATGTAGGACGTAAATTTCTGTTAAGCCACTGTGTTTGTGGCACTTTGTTATGTCAGCCATTGCAAACATATGCAACAGCTGTTACAGATGAAAACCCCCAATTAGACGTGGCAAGATACCATACCTCTGCCAGGACAGCCCAGCTATTCTAGCCAAGAAAAATCCTAGGACGTAACCGGCTATTGGATAGAGCGTGCCTATCACCCACAGTTTGGGTTCGATGACCCAGGCACTTTGGTACAATATTCCTCCAATAACGGCGACGAGTACAATGAGAATCACACCTGAGATCGACCCGATCTGTAAGAAACAAAGGTACACGTGAGCCCAGGGACATTGCCAGAGCACCTCTGACTGTGGCTGTCAAGGACAAAAATCTAAGAAGACTGCTTCCATCTCTGATGTGATAACAGAGCTACCTCTCTATGTCTTGCTACCTTGAGGGCCCAGTTATTGGAAACGATAGTGCTTTTTGAATTTTTAAGGAAACCATGTGACCTATCCTATTCATGTTCAATTAGCCTGAAGACTTTCTACCTTTCAAATTCTCCAGTCAGATAGGAAGAAACTCAAGTCTGATAAGAGCCTAAAAGACTTGGCTTCCAGTTTCATAAAAATCTTAATTTCTTTATTCATTGTAACAGATAAAAATCTTGCCTCAGCTGCATTTTATGATGATTTTGATAAGAAAATAGATATAAAACTTTAAGTTTAAAAAGGTGCTGCTATTGTCTTCTTTTTATAGTTTTGCAATATGTGGAGATTCAATTATATATTATAGAATATTTAATTATTATGTATCTTTGTCCAGGGAAATAATACTAATTAGCTCATTTTACTCCATGAGCAATAGTACCTGTCTGGACCATCTACATGCATATCCACGTAGACAGGGAATGGCAGCGTATGGTAGCCGTACTTTAGCATATGCCAGTTGCCTGGTACTGAACTGGCCATGCGATTACAGAAGTTAGAAACACGTGGTCTATTCTCTAACATCTCTGTCTAGATAGATTTTATATCACAAAGTCACATAGCAGGGATAATGCCAATGCTCTGTGATAGAGTAAAGGCAGGAAGTGACATTGGAGTTGGATCTCAAAGGATGGATCGAAAAGTTCCCCATGGACAGGACCATGAAAGGCATTCTAGGAGAGAGTCTTATACGACTCATAACTTCAGGCCCTCAGAAGGTAAATTCTACAGTGAGGACAAAGCAGTATAACACACGAAGAGGCTACCACTCCAGTTCTTACTGTGAGCACTTAATCATGCAACCTACTGTGCGCAGTACTTACTTTAAGTATGATCTTGGCTATCCGGGGCCATTTGTGATTAACGTACATTCCCACGGAAACAGGAATAACAAGAGTGACCAAAGAAATACCTAAAGATGACAGAAGATCAACTTAATCAGCAAAGGATATAATACAAGAAAGAGAAATGCAAAAGATAAATAGCCTGAAAAACAAACTTAGTACTGCACTCTCATTGAATACATGAAGAGAAAATGTACACACACACACACACACACACACACACACACACACACACTTCTTCACTCCAATAACTTATTTAATATTACTCATTCAATATTACTGATTAAAGAGTTGATAATATAAATACTTTTCACTAACTCCTGGTTAGATTTCTTAGTTACTTGTACTGCCAGTAAACTTTAGATTCTATTTGTCAGGATTTTGGTTTCTTTAGTCTATTAGATCTATATGTTCTTTTTTTTTTCAGAACCGGGGATTGAACTCAGGCCTTTGCGCTTGCCAGGGAAACACTTATTCCACTGAGCCATCTCCCCGGCCCTAGATCTATATATTCTAGGGAAAAATATCTTTCCAAAATTTGTGTGCATGTGTTTGTACCCACGTGGCTATGTATATTCTCGTGGTACACATAGATGATATTTTAAATCTTTCTGTTACTTCATGATGATAGAAATAAATAACTTATTTTAAAGTGGAAGAAATAAAACATTGAAAATTTGCCCAAAATATCAAGGTATTTTTAAGGTTGACAATGTTTGGTCAAAACTAATTTCATTTATTCAAAGCAAGAATGGAGAGGTGGGTGAATAGGTTGAAAAAGAGTGCTTTATGTTTTCCATGAGATAATACATTCGGTGATCTCTCAAGTAATTATGATTCTTTACAGCAACGAGCTCCTGCAGCTGGATGAGAGTCATATGCTAACAGCACCGTGTTCAATTTATGGTTATTCTTGTGGCATATGGTTTGTCTCTCCATGTGTGTGTTACTTAACACTCATTTTCCAATGGTTGCTTTCCTACAGTAAACTACCAATGACTTCTAACTGCTCATGGGTTTTTTCTGTTTCAAACATCCTTTTAGAGATGCATGAGAAAGTGGAATTGGATGATGAAATTCTGAGTGTAGATGTTGCCTACTCTTGGAATCAAGTAACTTCAGAGTGGACAACAGATTATAAATTCCAGGGCTATGAATATTAATTTACAATCAATCAATTTAAAATTTAAGATAATGATGAAAATATAATTCCGGTAAACTACTGGCCCTTCCCACAGTCTAAGGGCCAGTAATTATTGTTTCCTAGGAATCACTTGGTGGAATTAAGTCATGGCTAGGGAAGCAAGAGCTGGAGAAGAACAAAGATGGGAGGAAGAGAGAACAAGCACACACTGGTGGGCAAAGGTGTATGGACAGGAGCCTAGAGCTAGCGCCTCCAGAAAATCTCCGTGGGTGTCCTTGCATTCCACTATTTGAGGAGGACACTTCTTGTCTTTGAACTCTACACCACCAGCTTGATTTTGTGAATTTGAAAGCCTTAACTTTAGATTGTGTGTTGATGGAACTTGACTGTACTGTCACAGCTTAAATCTAGGCACACATGCTGTGCTTGGATCGTGTACACGACTGGGTCTTGAGGTACACTTTGAACACAGGGGGTCCATTTGGCCCTTCTCACTCAGGTCCTTGTCTCTGGAGCAGGCCAGGGCAGCCAGGATCTCTGCCATAGTCTAGGATGGAAGGTTTTTCTCCCTTCACCAGATGAGGCCAGAGGAATTTTACCATGGATCTGAGGTGGTCCTTCCTCACACCTACAGATGGTTTCTGCCTGAAAGTGGGCTGCTGGAACTCTTTGCTCCCCTATAGCTCTGGAGCTTTTTTCTTTTCCTGTAGAATGGGGGATTGAGCCCAAGGCCTTCACACTGAGTTACCTCCTTTTTAATTTTGAGGCAAGGTCTTGGCAAGTTGCCTTGGCTGGGCTTGACCTTGTGGACCTCTTGCCTCACTTTCCCACGTTGTTATATTTATTCCTTATATGCCTGGGCTCTCTCTCTCCCTCTCTGCAAAAATTCCTTCCTGTCTATGTAGAACAAAAAGGACTAGCTTGTTGTTAGACTGCTGAAAGCAAAACTTCACCTTACTTTTAGTTTTTGCAGAAGCCATAGAAGGGAGAAAAGTAGAGAGAAAAGCCACAATGAAAGAGAGTGGTGAACAATTCCATTAGTGAAACTGGCAAACTTTGGAAGCTGTGCAAGTCATTTAAGCCCTTTGTGCTTTGGTCTCCTCCTGTGGCAAATGAGTGCACTCACATCCCTGTCACAGTGCTGTGGTGAGATCCCCTGTAACATGGAGGTAAAGCTCTTGCTATGAGATACTCAAAATGTGGCTGCAACAGCTTTCTTAGTGTCCTGCTTTCAGCTTCCAGATATGCACGGGCTTCTTCCCATGAAGATACTGTTATCTGAGGGGCCCAGATTCTCTCCTGAGTCACAGCAACATGCTGAGCCCTGCGCGTGCTGTCCCAAGCACCCTGCCCACAGAGCAAGGTGAAGAGCATACCTGTGGACTAGCTCCAGCTCCCCAGGAATCCTGGGAAAATTAAACAATTGCCCTGAGCTTCAATAGCCTCATTTACCAAGTGATGATAACATTTTGTGAAGCAGTCAGCTTGGTTTTGTCCTTATTAAAGAAACTAGAAAAACCAATAGTAAAAAATTTGGGTTAGAAAGCAGGCCTGAGTGAACACGGTGAACAGTTAATGTCTTTGTGTTCCAAACTCATCTTGCTTTTACTTCTTTTTCACCATTGATCCCCATTAGGATGATTTTCCTCTCTACCGAATGCTAGTCCACTTTTCATCTTTTTCTTTCAAAATTTATTCACATGAAAGGATAAGGTAAAAGTTATTCACATAGTAGTTAAAAATTACTCAATATTCCCAAGGAATATTTTTAGCAAGGACATGGATCTCAAGAGGAGAATATTTTAAGGCTTGAATTCGTTTCTTAAGCAATGAATGCTGTACAATTGAAATTCTTTGGTCAGCAAGCAGGTTCCTTGAGTGGACCACAATGTTTCCAGTGTAAACAAACTACATTTTTTGAGCGAGGTGTTCACTGAAGGAGTAGAATGAGATAAACAATATGGGACACAAAGAGGGTGGCTTTAAAACCTGAGTTCAGATTTTATTTGCTGTGATGGAGTCTCCCAGAGATCAGTAGGAGAATCCAGTTCAGAAATGACCCCTACAGAATCGAGTGCCTCAGCTCACTTTTTACAATTCTACTATCTACAATGGTTATTAGAATAAGGGAGAGAAGAAGAGATCATGTGAAAACTATTGCAATATTGATCATCCCAATTAGTGGGCGGGCAGAAATTAGTCCCATTCAGCTGTATATAGTGTGTATCACATTTAATTACAGAAACTGTTTTTAGAAATGGAAGGGACTTTTAGTCAGCTTCCAAAACATCCTGTACATAACTTTGGCAAACATCCCAAAAGCCACTGGGTGACATTTTT